AATAAATAAATGACAGTAACATGCTACTCTGTTCAGAGGAATTGTCTTTTTTTGTTGTCTTATCCTTATCCATTTTTAAATGGTCTTTCTGCTGTTTAGCCAGTTAGCTATCCAGCATTAATGGTAGATAAAGTTAATAGGGTCAGTTTCTAAAACGTGCATGTAATTTAAATACAGAAACTATATAATCAGTGATATCATTCTTTCAGATGTCTTGGCATTCAAGCAGCTGCCACTGAGATGAATATCTTTGCTAACATGCAAATGTATAGCAGCCTCTCTTCTTAGTGACCTCATTAGTATACTCTCTTAGCTTGGATAGGAAATATTTCTTTATCTGTTTCCAAAGAATTCTTTGAAAAGTTTACTTTTCTAAGATAAAAACATAGCTGACATCTATATCAAATAGCTTAGTGCTCGCTTTAATATGTAGCTGCACTTTACAGACCAAAGTGCAAGTCAGCTGAAATGCTTGTGCGACAGACAACAAAAGCACAAACCAATCCAAGAAAAAAGCTTATTTTATTGTTAATAATACATTACTAATTGGCAACATAAAAGCTTTGTGCAGGCAGTTCTGTAACACAAACAAACCAGTGCAGGGTCATGGAAAACAGGCCTTGCCAAAAGTAGGAATTGTGAGGAAATAATGTCAAAAATGCATCTATGGATGCCCACACTAAAGGTTCCCATTAGAATAATCCAAATAATTGTCTGTATGTTGTCCTGTGTGTGAAATCAGTGTTGTAACCTAAAATCAGCATTACATACAAGGAGTTATTGTTTAAAGCTGCAGTCCGTAAGTTTTGCCTCTTTGTCGCCATCTCTGTTTGAAAACCTGGAATTGAAGCTGTGTGCGGAATTATCTAGTTTGCGTGGATTGTGAGTCGGCACGGCTCCAGCGCGGATGAATCTAATGTTCTGAAGAGTATGTGTGGCAGTCAGGTCTTTATATTTACAGAAGTGACGTAATGTGCCAGTGCCATGCTCGAATTTCCCGCGAAAACCTACCCGTACCACTCAAATCAGAAAACATTATTATAAGCTAACTGTTGTGAATCGGTCTAAAGTAAGGCGATAGTTTTGAACACTGGCTGGTTATGTACTTGCTCAAATATTGATTTCGGATCATTTTTAACCAAAAAAAAGTTACGGACTGCAGCTTTAAGTTAATGTTCAAGTTTTTGTTCATTCTACTGGCTGATATGGGAGTTGTCTTGGATTTTTGCTGACACGTAGTAGTGTGGAGGCATGGAAAAGTCATCTAATGATTCCGATGCAAAAATGTACTATAGTCTCACACAATTGATTTATTCCTTAAGCAAATGTAACAGCAGTATTATTGAGATAAATAAAGCAATAGTATAAACACGGTAGCCTCTATTAAAGGTAAAGCATAAAAATACCATAATATGCTTGCAGATATTTAGGAAACGTGCTAACTTCACCTACTTGTTTTTCTCTGAGAAAAGTGCTACATCCAGTATTTTACTTTGAAAGGTGTTCCATGTTGGAATGTCTGTTTTTGTTTTGATCTGTGTGATTCCACCCATTTACCCAATAGTATTTCAACTCCCCAAGTTGCCAGTTGGCAGAAAATACAGTCTTTTGCAGCCATGTAGACCAGCTAACTGGGTCAAAGATCGCAGATTCTACCCGACCTAAAAATCCCTGGCATCCATCTAAAAAGCTCTATGACCAGAGGAATATTAAAATGTGGAAAAGCCATTGTTAATTGCACTCATTCCTGTTGCGTATCCTCAATCTGGCAACCTGCGTGATTGTCGAGTCTGAGGAGGAGGGGGGCAGGGGAAACAACTCTTCAGTATTTTGAATTTGGATTTCAGTACTGTCAATATTACATACTGCAACCTGCTCTATGTACAGTCAAATTGTTTATTAGTCTACTTTGATTTGATTGGATTTGACTAGAGTTTCATCTCATATGAATGTACATAATTTTAAACATATTCTAGTACTGCTCTCTTCTTCAGAAAAAACTTTTTAATGAGGGAAAATTACTGACTGCACCTTTGAAAGTACTGATGGAATCAGCAGCAGTTGTCAGAGTCGAGGTGTGAATTTCTGAGCTTTAGTAAGTTCAGGTACTAATGGGCAGGAATTTGTTCAACGCACACAGTCACTTGTGATGTGTGATAATCAAAATGTGCTCATTACACATGCTCTTACCAATGTGTAATTTCATTTAAATGATAAGACCATGTAGAACTGTCATGTTTTGAGTAAAGATCTCTATTGATCAATCAATATCTCAGTTTTCCTATCAGTCAGTGATGAAGAAATTTATATTAACCAAATCTATGATAACATAAATTAAAATTTATTTCTCTTAACCATGATCCTGGCATCTAAAATGGCCTCGCAGATGAAATATGGAGTTCTTGGAAGAACTGAACAAACTGTCCTGGAGTCTGGCATGATAAATTTGCAGTAAGGAACATTACCCCAGCAAAACAAATTGCATTTATATCAGGAGCTGCTGCATGATGAATTAATTCAGAGCAGCTGAGAGATAGTTGGAGTTCCAATGGAAAGAGCTCTATATATTATCTGCCTTTACCTTGTTTTCTTTGGGTAGAAGCAGGAATGTTTAAAAGAATAGTTCAGCTAAAATAAAAATTCTGACATCATTCACCTTGTCAGTATTAAAGAACCAAACCTGTTTGACTTACTTTCTTCTGTGGAATACAAAAGGAGAAATTGTGAAGCCATGTTGGTGGTGCGTTTCCAATGCAATTACAATAAATATGAAATACACTGCTGAATGACAAGCAATTATGGTAAACTATTATATACTTTAATGTCACTTCTATTGAAACGTTTATGTCATGGATTTCAATATATTTGTTATTACACATTCTGCAATTTAGAACCATTAATGTATAGCTTTAAATGTAAAAATAACATTACAAATAAAATTATAATCAAGTACTTTACGTGTGCTTTAGTATATTAGTCAGTCAACATATCAAAATAAGTGTACTTTTTTAAAGCATTACAAAAAATAATTATACAATGATTTACAATGTACTTTAAAGCAGAACTTTTCATTTGACATTATTATAATGCATCTTTTGCTCAATTGTATTAAAAAACATAGTCATGAAAGTCATGAAAGGGATAGTTCACCCAAAATGTAGTTTACTCACCCTCAAGTTGTTCCAAACCCGTATGAATTTCTGTCTTCTGCTGAACCCAAAAGAGGATATCTTCAAGAAAATATGGGTAACCAAACAGTTGATGGTCCCCACTGACTTCTGTAGTATCGAAGAAGAAAAAAGTCAGTGGGAACCACCACACAAATTCTTCAAAAATATCTTCTGTTGTATGTCAACAATTGACTTTTATGTTGCTTTATATTTACTAATGCATTAGGAGTTGGAAGAAAACCCCTATTCAGTACTAGAAAGTAAAGAAGAATATATATATAGTGTGGTCATGTGTTTTGAAGAAAACACCAGAACCCAACAATAAAGGCCTTCTCTACTGAATTTTAAGCATGGATTTTACTGGCTTGAAAATTACTCATGGGAGCACAGTGAGTTTTGGGAGCTTCATTTCCCTTCTCGGGAATAACACCATATATCTTCTAGAGATAAGAGGCTGGGATCTGGCCTGGACAGGGTTGAATGATAGAGGCAATCCCACAGATGTGTGGGTTTGATAGCGTTTGCATCAATGTGCAGGCTCTGAGGAGAAACAAATAGTACTGAAAACGAACAAGTTTGCCGTTATGATGCAGTTCAGCAGCTAGAGAGGAACAGCCATGTGTCCTAAAGTTGACATTAGTGATTCCCATAAATCACACCGTATATATTTTATGTGTTCACTTGACAAAATCCTCAGAGGAATCTCCATGGACAGGAGGAGGTTATAGACATGCTGTTATGTGGCAGCAGGTTCCATTCGGCTATGTCCACATTTTTGCAATTTTCCAAATTTTTAGGCACCTATTTCTTCTGTGTAGAAAAATAATGCAGATCCCATTTATTTTTGCATAAAAACTGCCTGTGTTTTAGTTTGTGGGGCAAGCAAAACATTAGCAAAAGTTTTAGAAGAAAAGGAAGAGAAGTCAAAAGAAGTCAAAAGTGCTGTAAGGGATTTCAAATATAACTGAAATAGATATCCAAGGAAATCATTTGCTTTTAAACCTTGTAAACAGCTAGAAAAAAAACAACAACAACTCAATGAACAAGCACTTCTTCAGACCTGCAAGTTAAAAAACATTTTTTATAATATTTTGTTTTAAATCTTCCGAAGCCATAATAAAAATCAAAATAATAATAATAACTGAACTTCTCATATAGATAATCGTCTCCATTCTCTGTTACATTTAAATGGTTTTACTAGGGGTAGAGATAATTTTATATATATATATATATATATATATATACATACGTACATACATACATACATACATACATATATTTAGCTAATTAATAAGATTAAAACCATCAGTGCACAATTTTCCACAACACAATCTGTCAAACACATCTTACCAGCAAACATACACTCGTTCACATCCTTATCTTCACTCTCTAAAGCAGAAGTCTCCAAACTCATCCTTTCTAATCATCCTATTACTTGTTCGCTTGATACTATTCCATCTCATCTCCTTCAAGCCATTTCTCCTGCAGATGGGCTCGTATAACCCCACTACTTAAGAAACCTTTAACCCATCTCTTTTAGAGAACTACAAACCAGTTTCCCTTCTTCCTTTCATTGCAAAAGCACTTAAATGAGCTGTGTTCAACCAAGTCTCTGCCTTTCTCACACAGAAGAACCTCCTGGACAGCAACCAGTCTGGTTTCAGAAGTGGACATTCAACCAAGACTGCCTTGTTCTCAGTTGTTGAAGCCCTAAGACTGGCAAGAGCGGATTCCAAAGCTTCAATTCTTATCTTGCTGGATCTCAGCTTGTCTAACAGACATTTCTTGCTGGATAAAGGACCATCACCTTCAACTCAACCTTGCCAAGACAGAACTGCTTGTGGTTCCATCAAACCCGTCGTTTCATCACAATTTCACCATCCAGTTAGGCATATCAACAATAACTCCTTCAAAAACAACCAGAAACCTTGGAGTTGTGATTGATGATTAGCTGACTTTCTCAAACCACATTGCTAAAACTACCCGGTCCTGCAGATTTGCTTTATTCAACATCAAGAAGATCAGGCCCTTTCTTTCGGAACATGCTTCACAACTCTTTGTTCAAGCTCTTGTTCTGTCCAGGCTGGACCAGCCAGTTCTATCAAACCTTTACAATTAATCCAGAATGCGGCTGTAAGATTAATTTTTAATGAGCCGAAAAGTCAAACGCATGTCACACCTCTGTTTAGCTGCTCACATAAAATTCAAGGCATTAATGTTTGCCTACAAAGCCACCACTGGCTCCGCACCCCTTTACCTAAATTCATTTCATCAGACTTATGTGCCCTCTAAAAGCTGGCCCTCTGCAAGTGAACAGCACATTATTGTGCCATCCCAAAGAGGCACAAAATCACTTTCACAGACATTTACATTAAATGTTCCCTCCTGGTGGAATGACCTGCCCAACTCAGTCCGAGCAGCTGAGTCCTTAGCCATCTTCAAGAATTGGTGAAAAACACACCTCTTCCATCTTTATTTGACCCTCTAACTCTAGCACTCTCTATTCTAGTTCTGTTCTTTTAAAAAAACATACTTGCCCCTTTTTGACTTGCACTCTATTCATTTACTAACTGCTTGTTTTCTTAAAAAAAAAAAAGAAAACTAACACTAGCTTCTCTATTCCTTTTGTATTCTATCTGTTTTCTTTTTATTTAATACACAATTACCGTATTGACTCGAATATAAGACGATGCTTTTTTCTTGGAAATACATCTGAAAAAACGCGGTCGTCTTATATTCAGGGTTTAGACGTTGTCATGTCAATAATACACCCACAACAATAGTTTTTCTATTCTGTCTGTTTTCTTTTTATTTATTATATAATTAAAAAAAACAAACAAACAAACAAAAAAAAAGACCTTTCTACGTGTGCTGTGTTAGGCTAACTGAGACTTGTCATAGCACTTGCGTATCATTGCTCTTTTGTTGATTTTGATTGCTTCCATTGTCCTCATTTTTAAGTCGCTTTGGATAAAAGTGTCTGCTAAATGACTAAATGTACATGTAATTATAATATTAATAATATATTAATTAAATATTTTTTTAATTATTGAAACGGGGTGGGGTTCAAAAATGGTCAAATACAACTGTACGTACATATTTCTAATATAAATAGAATAAACATGATTTGTACAGGTTATTTTTGGAATAGCTATGAATACTAATGCAATCTGTCTATTTTGTCCAAATCAAAAAAAAAAAAAAAACTTTTATTAAATTCTCTGTTTAACACTGTAGTCTAATCTGTGTTGATAAAATGTCAAGAAAATAAACTGCTGATATCCACACGTCAAAACCCTTTTCACAACACAGTATTTAAACGTGATGATGCACACATGAATACACTGCAATTGTTTACATCTTCCCTCCAAATTGTAAATGTGTTTTAATAATTAAGAGCAGCTCTCTAGAGAGTGTATTCACATTTGTCTGCTAATTACCCATGATGCAGTTCTCAAAGTGATGTTATGTCTCTTTAAACCTCTTCATTGTCAAAGCTAATGCATGTGCCTTTGAATTATAGAGTTTTTTCCCCAGTTAATCAGACTTGCAAATGTAAGTGGATTTTGAGGAATCGCATGTATGTTGAGGTTTCGTTCTATTGTCCGTCCGTTATTAGTACGGGTATATTGACTCAGCCATATCTGATCTCATGACTGCTCCTGCTCTTTCTTCTCACGCAAAACGAAATGTTACACTGTGTTGAAACTTTGTTGTGGCAGTTGTCACAAGAAATGTTGATTGGATTGTTCAGCTGATTTGTTTACACCCCAGAAATGCCAATGGAATATTTGCATCGTTTTAATTAGCTCTAGGAAACGAGTGAAAGAATTGGAGAAGACAGGAAATACGGCGGCAGGTCTAAATAATTAGCGGTTATTAATATGCAGACTAGCAGATGCCTCTGTTACGAGTAATGGGTTTAATGTTGTGTCATGATGGTATGGAGCTGCCAAACCAATTGACAAATGCTTGTTAACAGACAATAGTGTTGTTAGCACCAAAGGATGAGTTTTTATCTCCTGTGCTAATGAACTTCTAAGTAATGACCTGCCAGTAAATAAGTTAATTGCAACTTTGATGAAGGAAACTTGTCAGCTCTCCTTATGGAGCGTTAGTCCTTTTGAAGAGGGCTGAATGCCTGTAGATATTAGTGTGACTTTGGATTGATTGACAGTGTACATGGCTATTAATTAGGGACCAAGCAATGAACTTAGGCACCTATTATGTTTGTTACTGTTCTTCTTATTCTGCTTCTGATTGGGATTCTGCAATAGAACCGTGTGGTTAAAAGTTGAATGTTAAAATTCATAGCACACTGAATGCGAAGGGTCTGAACCATAATCAGATTGTGATGCCACCAACAGTTCAATGTTTGACTTTTTTTCTATTCATAAATTTTGACCCCCTTGATCTAGAAATGGGCCACGGCAAGCTCAAATAACACAAACTAGTATGTTATTAATGTGTTATTAATGTAAAAGAAAGTGTAAGAGAAAGAAAGTGGCTCGCTCTTGACGCATTTAATGTGTCTCCTGTCCTCGGCTGTCATATCATTAAAGTATATCAATCAATCAATCAATCAACATTTATTTATACAGCCCTTTATAACACTCAAGGTGAACCAAAGTGCTTTCCAATAAAAACAGAGCAATAAAAACAAAAATAAAAGCCAACAACAAAAAATACATAAAATACACAATGTCACAACAATTGCTACATATTAAAAGCCAGTCTAAATAAATAAGTTTTAAGCTTAACTTTAAAAAGGCCCAGGTCAGTAATGGTGCGCATATCGGCGGGAAGCTTATTCCAGAGTCTGGGCCCAGCTACAGAAAAAGCCCGGTCACCCCAGTATTTGTACTGTGACCTCGGAACTTCCAGCAAAAGTTGATTTGTTGACCTAAGAGCCCTGTATGGCTGACGAAAAGCCAGCATCTCAGTTACATAAGGTGGGGTAAGGACATTGAGAGCTTTAAAAACAAACAATAAAATTTTAAAATCAACTCTAAAAGAAACTGGAAGCCAGTGGAGCGAATAAATAATTGGGGTGATGTGCTCACGTTTGCATGTGTTAGTTAAAAGACGGGCTGCGGCATTCTGCATCAGCTGAAGGCGCCTGAGGGACGACTGTGAGACACCAACATAAAGTGCATTACAATAATCTAATCTTGAACTGATAAAAGCATGAATAGCTTTCTCAAGGTCAGAGCGATTCAAAAATGGTTTGACCTTGGCCAAAAGACGTAGCTGAAAAAAAAACTAGCTTTAACCACGCTGTCAATTTGTTCAGGCTACTATCAAAAGTCACACCGAGATTTCTGACAGTTGGTCTAAGCTTTGAAGTCAGCGCATCAAAGTCAGAAGTTACAGACTCTCCAAATAAAATATATTCAGTCTTTTCTTCATTTAGATGAAGGAAATTTTGCTCTAACCATAGTTTAATGTCATAAATGCAATCAATTAGCGACCCAGCTGCGTCAGCATTTTTTTGTCTCCTAGGCAAATAAATTTGCAAATCATCAGCATAGCAGTGAAAAGCTATATTATGCCTGGCTATAATGGACCCGAGAGGCAGCATGTAAAGTGAAAAAAAAATACGGGCCCGAGAATAGAGCCTTGTGGCACCCCACAATAGAGATAAGTGGTGGAAGAGGACGAGTCCCCAATCACTACAGAAAAGTTTCTATTGGTCAAATATGATGAGAACCACTGAAGTGTGGTACCCCGAATGCCAACAAAGTGATTAAGGCGAGACAGAAAGACTTCATGGTCCACTGTATCAAAGGCCGCCGTGAGATCAAGTAGCACTAGAATAACAGGGCACTTGGCATCAACAAACCGAGCAATATCGTTGTGCACCTTTAACAGTGCAGACTCAGTGCTATGTCACACTGAATAAGTATAAACTTATTCAATACCCATTTTGCAATGTTTAGCCATATTGAACAAATTAAATGGTAACACTTAAAAAAAAAAAAGAGAGAGTTTTCCCTTAACATTTTTCTGTTTATTAATAGTTAGGAAGGTAAGTTAAGTTTAGGTTAGGATGAAGGGCTCTAAAATATGGTCGTACTGAATAAGACATTAATATGTGCTTTGTAAGTACTGATAAACAGTCAATATGCTAGTAATATGCATGTTAATAAGCAACTAGTTAATAGTGCGAATTGGTCCTTAAAATAAAGTGTTGGCAATTACATTTTTTTATTTTATTGTAAAGAGTTTTTTTTTAATTTCCTAAAAAGTTTTTCATGATGAGATATTCTTCAGAGCAAACTGAACAGAATTTATTGAACAGACTTTCAAATTCACCAGTATTGTACTTTACTTATTTCAAAAAGAGTAAGTTATATATGTGAGGAAAAAAGAGTGAAATATATGTGGTAAACATTTTTGATAAGTGGATGTTATCTATATTGTCATAAAGCTTTAAATTCTGATTAAGCTCTTTCTTAACTCTTTCTTGAGTTCATGTCAGAAACATTTTTTTGGTTAGATCCTTTCATAAACTGATTATGCATGCATCTTTTGCATTTTTTTTTAAAACACCCTGAGCACACATCAAAATAAGCTGTAATGAGTAATGAAAAACTCTTCATTTTGTAAAGATGGTAAAAATATTTTATTGCAATTACACGTTGAAACAGACCCGTACGTAGTATGAATTAAAATATTTCTTGCACATATATGGCTGAAAAGCCTTAAATTATCTGTAGTTCTTGCATCAGTCTTTCTATTAAAGTAATGTCTTGAGTATTTGCATAATATAGCTTAATGTAAGTCTAGAAATATTAATGAAGTTGACATTAAATGTATTGCATGTCATCTTTGTACTGTAAATGTTACATGTCAAACCATGTTTATTATATTATTCCAATTTAAATGTCATGTTAATATTAATATTCTATAGATTTAAGCCTAGTCACAACAAAATCTCATCACTTTTTTTTTACATTGCTTTGAAATAATAATACAGTAACAAGACATTTCTTGGTCTTTTATGTATTATTACTACCAGTTGTTTGGCTATTTTTATTAAAGGTCACAGTCTTTACAGATCATTAGTCATCAAATGCTCAGTAAACACTGCAGGTCTCATGAAGGTCACAGACATGGAGGTGCAGCTTTAATTTAATCGAGTTGAGCGAACACAGGGCTCTTTCATACGTTATGTTAGTATAATATGAAGTTCATTTCAATTTGGACATGACTAGAGGTGGTCTTGTCTAAGTGGGTGATTTATTTACTTAGAAATTTGTCTTAATTTTCACAAGTTTTACTCATTCAGGCTAATTAGCAGATCTGTAGCTTTATTGTTGAAGAGAAAAGTTGAGCTTAATATATCTTTTCTCAAGTACTTTCAAATGTTGAGCTAATTGATAAGATATTAAACTGAAAAAAATCCGAGCAAACCAAAACTTTCTTTCCAAAACCAAAAATGAACATATTGTGGGCAAACGGCAATTACAAGTATTCTTGTATTTAAATCAGATAAATCAGATGCTGAACATTGTTTTACTTGTCATGTGTGAAAATACATTTTTTTGCTTAATATGTATTTCAGTGTTATATTAATGATGTTTTTAGACTTCATAGATCTCTAAGAAGCAGAGAATAATTAATTGTTAACAAACAGCAAGCAACGTGGAAAAGTGAGAGGATATAACATGCTTTATCTCATATTTCTCTCTTAGCAGATACAATGAGGGAAAAGGCTGAGCTTGCTTTTTTTTTTTTACCGTGTGTGTTTTTTTCC